GGTGGCAACTTTAGATTTCTCCATCTTATAGCCATGATTAGCAAAACCAAGGGCCGAAATTTGAACCAGAAATCAAAATTGGGAAAAACAATGACCTTATAAAAGTGCAAATGAGGTAAAACACATGAGAATACGTGTTGAGTATATGACAGAACATGTGGCTGATTATGTAACAGAACATGTAGTCAATTATGTGACAAAACATATGCCAAATTACATAATAAAACACATAATAAAATATGTGACAAAATACTTAACAACACAACACGTGATAGGCAAATTACGTGGCAAAACATGTTGCAAACGTTTACTTACAAATGATGTAACAGAACACATGCAGTTGCCGGGTCAAATAAACTACCATAATAGAAGGCATTACTAAATAGGCAACCAACGTATGAGACAGGAGCTGTAGGTGCATGAGATGTGTGAAATAGGGATTGTTGATGTTCAAGGAGACTCTGATACCTATTGCTTATGAAAATTACCCAAAAAATAATTCTTTTTCTTATTTTCCCTTGCATTTTGCATTTTAAGAGAACATTCAAATATAAATGGTTGCCTTCTATTTTATTACCTCTAGTTTTTTTTTTGCTTTTTTGAGTGATTTTTTCAGGTATCGAGATGAGTTAGAAATAAAGTTTCGTTTATTGTTGAATGAAATTAATTAGTTATGAGATGAGGTCTTGCTTTTTTTTTTTGTTTGCATTTAACATTCAACACTTTTATTTACGGTCATTTTTTGAGTTAGTATTTGGTATGTTTTAAATCTTGGCATAATATCTAAAAACGCCTCTAAATTATTCAAAAAAATTCAATAAATCTTTGTACTTTTATTATATTCAATCAAACCTTTATATTGTTATTTGAATCAAATAAGCTTTTATATTTTTATTTTGAGTCAAATAAGCTCTTATAACTAATGATTGACTTAGTCAAAATACTTGTTGTCATTTTATACCATATGACGCTGATGTAGGATACTAATATATTATAATTGATAATAATGTGACATGTTAACATATCATAATTGATGATAATGTAATATGCTAATTTGCATGATAATATAACCATGTGATTTTTTCCCTTCACATCATTACCATGTCAATGTTATGTGGATAAAAAATGATAAGTGGCATACTAATAGTAATTAGTTAATTATTAACCATAAGAGTTTATTTAATCCGAAATAAAATATAAAAATTTGATTGAATGTAGTAATAGATTAAAAACTTATTTAAATTTTGTTAAATAATTTAGAAACTTATTTAAATATTACGCCTTAAATCTTTGTTTAGTGTTATATAGTCAAGTGAAATAACTCAATTTCATATTCTTTGACGTGGGGCTTGCTTTTTGAGCTTTCAAGTCTTGACAGCTATAACACACTTGCTGAGGCATCTCTATTTGGGATACATAAGTTTGTGCATTGCTTTAGGTAGACGCCATTATTACTAAATCATAGATTGTGAAGTTGTGATGTATTTCTTTTCAAACATTTATATTTTATTTTTGTTTGATATAATATTGTAAAACGTTTATTAAACTATTTAATAATATTTAAATAAGTTTTTTTATTGTGTTTAATTAAATTTTTATATTTTTATTTTAAATTAAATAAACTTTTATAACTAACAAATGATTAATTGTTATTAGTGAAAGTATCAATTGTCATTTATGTTCACATGAATCTGACGTGGAGGATGTATACCACATCACTTCGATTATGATAAGTCAACATGTTACATCAGCATAATATAGTATGAAATGATAAATGACATTTTGACTAATGAAAGCTAATCAACCATTCGTTATAATGACATATTTGATTCAAAATAATAGGATAAGAGTTTGATTGAATGCAATAGAAAAAGAAAACTTATTTAAATTTTCTTAAATAGTTTGAGGATTCATTTTGGTATAATGTCTTTTAATTTCTATTAAATTATATTGAATATATTTGAGAGATTGATTGTGTTTTAAAATTGATCAAAATGATTATTGATGCTATTTGTTGAAATTGACTCATGTCTTATTTGAAGATGTATTTTTTTTTGAACACTTTGGACAATGATTTGGGTCATTCAAGAAAAACTTAAAATCTTATATGATAGACATTTTGGCATTAAATTAATATTTTTTATAAAAAAAATAAAAAAAAATCGACAGCATAGCACGGGCACCAAATCTAGTTGATATTTACATCTACGTCAAAACTCTCCTTTATCAGGGAAGAAAATGTCAAAGAACCTGTGGATTTACTATCTATTTGGTCTGATTTATTTTCAACTTATCAATCTCTTAAAAGTAAAAGCCAAGCTAAACAAGATTTTGAGAAGTTCTTGAAAATATTTTTTTAAAGAACAAAATTTTGAAAAAAAAGAATTTAAAGAAAACCTCTAGAGAGAAACTTTCTCTTTTCTTCTTTTAAAAACACACGAGCTTTTTAAGAAATACTCATCTTTCTTAATCAAATTCCCTCTTCTCTCCCTCATTTTGCAAATCACCCTTCTCCAACACAAAATCGTGATCTCACTCTCCATTACATAGTTCTACAAAGACTATTGAAAAAAGAAAAAAAAAACAGAAGACCTAGCTATAGAATAACAAAATCTACGATTTTTTTATTCTTACAAAGATTAAGAGAAAAAAAAAACTCAAAATTCCAAGTTACATTTAGATATTATTTAAAGATTTTTTTTTCTTTACTAAAAAATCTAATACTATTTCTACTATACAAGTTTGAGAGTTGTTACTTTTTTTTATGAATTTTTTTATTTTAATATCTGAAATGGTATATAAATTCCAAGCAGATTTGTTCCGCTTTTGTTTATTAGGTGATTGGAAAGAAACTGCTCAATTGCTATACGTTTATGATAATTTTAATTAAAATTAAAATTTATATAATTTATTGCACTAAATAACTTATCAAATAGTTTTAACTTAATTTTAAAAGTTATTATTTTTCATAAAAATTTCATAATAACTTTTAAACTAAAAAAAACTAAACCAAATATGCTTTTAATTTAAAAGTTCTCATTTCCGTGGCTCCCTTGTGGTCACTGTCTCAAAGAGTCTCTACAATTCTGACCAAGTCAATACCAGTATATTAGGAATTATCTCACAATTAATACTCTAAACAATCAAAACGGTTGATTTTGTTCCATGCATTGGACCATCCAAATGAACAAATTGGAAACTTTTCGACATCACCTAACCTACTTAACGCGTCTCATCCAATAACAAAACTGGGGAAGATGTTCTTTATTCATTTTCAATTTATCAAAAGTAGTGAGCCTGGCTAGCATTCAGCAATAACCCCACAAATTTTAGTAATACCCTTAATTTCTTGAATAACATTTCTTCTTTTGTTTAATCAATGAGCTCCTTCAAATTGCACTTGACTTAAACATGAGGAACAGTGAAATTTTGACTTCTAATTTCTTGTTATCCAGTGGGCTTGAAGACTAATGCAAGCTTCATTTAACTTTGCAGATAACATCACAATCATTTTATGTTGGAACTCTAATCATGTGGTCAGTTGGTGCATTAGTGATTCCAGTGTTGTCCTATAAGCTAGACAAAGTGAAGATTGAAGATAACATTAAAAAAGGTGAAAGAGACTCAAAAGTCATTTTCCTTTTATCACGAAATTATTAAATGAGTTTCCCTTTCATATAATGGAGCTTAATATGCAGCAAAAGCAAGGGGTTTTGTGGTAAATTAGCTTATTTCATTTTTTTAATCAAAGCAATGTTCGTGATTCATGAACCCCTTTGAAATGGATATCAATGTGTTATTAAAAAGGGAAAAAAAATCAACAACTTGCTTTTTGGTCAATCACTGTCTCATATTATATATTCCCAAAACAATTATTCCCATGAACAAAAGGAAAAGCAAAATACAAGGAATAAGAAGTCATCTATTTACATTGAACCTTGGTTTTTGTTTCTCTACTATGGTATAAACTGTGGGCTAATGCCAGATGACGCCATGACAATGACAACAAGTGTATGATGAAATGATGTCAAACACAACCATGATTGCTGTTATGAAATATTATATATAAATATATATATTTACAATTGTCAAAATTAAATGAAATGGCTATTGTATCATTGTTATTGCAACAGTATTGCAGAATCATCTACAGCAGCCTAGCTAGCACAATTCAAAAAGATTCAATTTTAATCCACATTTCTAGGGTTTCATTTTTCCATCCCCAAAGTGCTCACCGGGCTAAAGCCCATGATTTTGAATTTCCTTTTGTTTTTTTCTTGGTATCCATGCATATTGGAATGCAACTATGCATATGCAAGTTGGTAACAAAATGGAGAGAGAAGAGAAACAATATGAGTGGAGCAGTACCGCTGATACCATGGGTGATGGGTTTCCATCAAGCGATATAAATACAAGGAATTGATTCTTAGATGGAGTCCAAATTTGGGTCCCTTACAAACAAAAGGGTTCCTTAATCGTGAGTCCGTTATCAATCTTAATAAAATTTGATAGTATTACATATATGGCCGGCAAATATAAATATCTGATCTGAAGTAAACGGATTCAATCCAAACTATCAAACGGTTATGATTCTATAGATCAGATAAATTAACCAATAATTGGGACAGCTCAACCCAAATTGAATAAAAGATCTTCTTCGACAGAACTTTTTGTCTCTAAGCATACATTTGGCAGCAGTCTTTCTCTGATCAGTTCGTACGTACTCCAAATGAACTGTAAAGGACCCTTAAATAAATTAAAAACAAAAAAACAAAAAATGTTTGGTATTTGCTACATGTAGTTCATTTTCTATCATTTCAAAAAAAAAAAGAAAATAAAGAAAATTCCTCCATGGAAAGCCTTGTATACAGTCGGGCAACTTTGTCGGCATGTTGGCCTTAAGTAGACCCCACAATTATAGAAAAAAACATAAGTGAAGAAAAATGCCCTTCAAAAAAGGAACCCAATAAACCTTTGTGATAAACACGACCACTAACAACACCACCACCAACTTGCCATTATCAAAACCCATTTACAAAAGGTGGCCTTCCGTTCCTCCTCTCCACCCCTCACAAGAATCTAAAATTCCTGAGAAATCAAAGCCTCTTACCATTGCCAGGAACAAAAGAAAAGAAAAAAAAATGTGGCGTATGCTGGTGGTTTTGCGACGAAACCTCCAAAACATCAAGAAAAGCCCCCGAGTAGCCGATGAGAACATGGTTGGAGGAGTGAATACTAATAATAATAACGGAGCTGAGATGCCAATTTTCATCGACAGAAGTCCCCGCGGATCCTGGAATGGTCTTTCTGTCATTTGCAGCGTTGTTAGAGCTCCTCTCTCTTTAGTTTCTTGCTTCTCTCAACCCCATGTTAATGGGGCTGATGGAGTTTGGGTGTCGAGTGAATTTGCTCAGATATCAGAGATGAATCATTTGATGGTAAGTGACAGCATGCGTTATGCAATCTTGATGTAAAAATGAGATGTAAATAAATGGTTAGAATTGCTTCTTTTTCCTTTTCTTTTTCTTTACGGGAAAATCAAGGAAGGGGAATTTTGCAGTGTGTTGTGCTAGTTACTTTGCATGGATTGACAGAAGAATTATTGTTGGTTTTTCTTTTCTTTTTCTTTTTTTTTTTGGGGGCCTTTTGGATTGTGATCCATGTAATTTTTCCCCTTCCATATATAATAGTTGTACGACTGATAAATATATATATATATATATATATATGTTAGTGAAAAAGTACGGATTATCATCTCTGAATGCAGGTTTTCACGAGTTTGTCTTCGTGGGCTTTTGCTTAATTTACTTCGGTTAATTTCATGATTCTTTGTTTCTTCAAATTAGAAATCAAATTCCCAAGAAAAAATGAATCAAATCGAATACTAATTTTTTGCCCAGGATTTGAATAGAAAAATCTCCCACAAGCCTGATCTTATGCTTGAAACAATAAAGTAATGGCACTTAAGAAAAAAAAAAAAAAAGGGTTTCAGTAGCGGTGATATGTGGTTTTTCTTCTACCGGCTCGCCACTGCCGGGTATCATTGCTGCAAGTAAATAATTAATTAATAAAGAACGTTCAAGCATACACGATTTTTTGTTTTCGAACAGACGCAATGTACAAATTTTTATTGAAATTCAATGTCGTTAGTTTTATTTTTATAATAAAACTATACATATTAGTAAAGTTATAATTACAATAAAATAATTTTCAATAATTTTTCATTTTGGGAAGGGTAAGGTATGCACCACTTAAATATAATTTTTTACCAAGTGAAAAGAAAGAATATATGCAGTATAATATTTAATTAACACACGTTTTAGCAATTTGGCTTCAATCATTAATGGAGGAAAACTGCTCCAAATTAATTTTTTATGACAAGAGAATCACTTTAAACTAGTTAGGAGAATGAGCTCGAAAGACTATAAATCACCCATGTAGATTAACTCCCATAGGCCAAATGTTTTGTACTTAATTTGAAAATCATATATACAGCTGAATGCTTTACCTAGTCTTGTCATTGCAAAATTAAAGCTGGGATACGCTAGCCTAACCTTAATTTTTAATCCCAGCTTATATATCGAATAAATTCTACAAAGTGCATATTAAGCCCCTGCTTTCCCAGACACCAACTATCTCTTACCACGTCATTGATTCCGAAAGACAAAGTTAAAGAGAAAACAACTTAAAGTTGAATCTAGAACTCTTTTGCAATGAAATTAATCAAATTACTATCAATATCATGTGATCGTGTACCCTAAACATATTTTCTACTGAGTTACTATATTCAAATCCTAAGATAAAAGGGATGAGGTGCTTTATGGGACTAAGATAAAAAATATATTTTTCCATCCTATAACCTAAAATGATGCATAAAAAAAGAGTAAAATTGTTGAATAATACCATTAAATCTATAAAAATTCTACTTAAAGAATAACAATAATGCTCATTCATCGACACTTTTAATAGCACAATTTTTCTTTTTTCTAAAAAATATGATTGGAAACCGAATTTGCAAAATGGGGGTGATTATAACATTTGAATTCATCAGAAATTTCCATATCCCCAAAGTAAAAAACCAGTTATTGTTGTGATTATCATCAGAAGGGTGTGCTGGATTTGCATAAGTGTGCAAATGAGGAAGGAGTCCCGAGAGAAGACTCAAAAGAGAAATGATGTGGTTGGGTTTATGTCCATATTTAGTGGGACATGAGAAAAATGAGAGTCAACTGCTCCAACTCCATGTTTCTTCTCATAATAATGGGAATTTTAATGTGCACTAGTGGTGGTGAGTGCCAACCCGTACAATTAATTTTAGTAGAAACTTTAATTGGCTTTTAGATTTTTCTTCAATTCTCACTCATCCAAAATTTGTTGGCAAGCACTTAATTCTTTTTATTCATTTATTTTTGCTCATTTTGTCAAATATGAACTATATTTCAACATAACCATATGAGGTAGTTTACATTCTTGTAATTTTTAAATAATTTAAAAAAGACCACATGAACCTAGAGAAATATAAATATAATTTTTTAAAAAAAGAATTTACTATATTATAAGGGCAATGGAATGGCTTTCCTCTGTGTATATATATATATATATATATATATATATATATATGAATTTTGTCTTTAACAATTTGCATGTTAAAGATAAAGAGTGAAAATACGCCTTTTAAATTTTAAGTAATGATTTACAACATCTAGTAATGCTGTCTATGAGAAATGTGTGTACTATATCTTAAGTTTGTAACTCTATATATCCATTTAACAATAAGTGTTCTATATGAAACTATACACGTAATTTTGACATTAATTTAATGACATTTTTCTTATTTTTTTATCAAAATCTTTATATTTTTCAATATTAGCTATAAGAGGTTCTTATAGTATAAAGGAGATTATAAATATATATATATATATATATGTGTGTGTGTGTGTGTGTGTGTGTGTGTGTGTGTGTGTTGAAAATTGGGCTAATTAACGAAAAGAAAAGATAGAAAAACATTTATTTCATTGTAGTCTGTACGTTTAGTATTTGATACTAAATAATTACAAGGTTTAATATGTGCGCATGCCCATCATTCTTAAATCCCATCTGCTCCTTATCCTTATCTGAATTTGTGAGTCATTTCGTAGCTTTCCAACAAGTGGCACTACTTCTCAATCAATTATACATCTCAAAGAGTTCATCTAATATTTAAGTTGACAGTTGAAACATTTCGTTTTCATAAGAAAAAAAAAATACCACTTCTTTTACTTAAAACTTTAAATTGAGAATAAAATATAAGTTTATATATATTTTGCTTAGTAAATTCAGGTCATTTTATTGAGTATCAAATAAGCTGATACAAAACTTGACTAGAACAAAGGGTGTGGTCAAGACCTCCTAAACGGGCAGGAAACAAACAATTCACTGTCAACATAAAACACGCCTAGACCAGCCTGACACCTTAACTCACAACAACATATGCTGGACACCATAAAAAAGAAATAACAGGACATTCTCCTGCACACCGTACTAACGAAAGCATTATAAATATCACCACACCATACAAACCACAAAAATAGATGACAGCATAAAACCATCACCACAAACATAAAGTCCTCTTCCAGTGTACAGTGACATTAATTTAATTGGCGAGGCTAGACCTTTTCCTTTAGTGAGAGTGAGACAGCATGAGGAGGGCGTGACAGAAACTTATATTTGTAAGAGGGAGAGATTCTTTGGATGAAGTCTAGTGATGGGCATCAGGTTGTTATGTAGTGGAAAGGTGTTAGTGAGAGAGACAGTTATTGGTCTCTGTGGGGATGACCTTTATGCCTATTAAACCTTTTGGAATGAGCATAAATAATAGATAGAGAGCGGAAACACGTGTTCTTCAGCATGGGTGTGGCCTAGACTTTTGAGTCTGGTCCTCAATAATAATACATATAAATTCTTATAAAAGAAATTGAGAAAAAAGGTCAATTTCATAAGTATATTTTAAAAATAATTATAATATAAAGTTAATTGTTTTTATCTAATTTTAATCATGAGATGTAAAAATGTCCTTGAAACTATTTCAGACAAATTAAACACTCAATTTCTCCCTCTTGCCATTCATGCAAATTAAATGTTTTGTCAGCTCTTTATTGCCATGCAGGTCTCTCCACTCACTTAGCTCTCTTTAATTTTACCAGCATCGTCATCACTCTCTGATCTATCTCTTGTGATCTTGGCATATTGTCATCGATTTACAGACCAAAGAGTAGAGGTGACATCAAAGTATGTTATTAGATTAATTGGTTCACATTTATGGAACCCCAAAGTTGACGAAAAACTAACATAGAAAGAAACTTTTGCCTACTTGATAAAACGGATGTATGAACTACATCTTTTATGGGAAGCAAGGATAAGATGTCAGATAAAATTGAATCCAGTAAAGCATTGATTCTTTCAATGCTACTGTCAATGCTGCTATTGCCTTCAGGCCATCGAGCGGTGGTTTTGGTGCGCTTGGGATGAATGGTCATTTGGGGATTTTGATTTTGAGTTGTTTTTGATGAAACTTAAACTATTGAAATGACCACAGAGATTTGTAATAGCTTCTAATCAAATCAATTCGGGCCTTAAGCTCACATAAACTTGAGAATTTGAAATTTTTAAACTTAGTTCATAGGAGATTTTCTTCGATTTTTAGACGAAACAAGTATTTTCGATGGGGAAAAAAATTACATTTTGATTTATGAAAATACGTTAGAAACACTTCAATTGGCACCCACTCTTCAAAAAATAAAAAGACAAGTAGAGAGCCAAGGGAATTTGGAGATTTGCTTCATGGGTTGTCTTTAAAATGACTACTCAGAGTGTTTAAAACCCTATGCAAAGCAAATTAAATGTTTTTACATGTCAAACTAAGTTATTACACACCATGCCTAAATATCCTCAGTTGCTACATGCCAACCTTAACAATATTTAGTTCAATCACACCATGCATCATCACTAAGTTGCTAAATGCCACGCGTAATCACTAAATCGTTACACTACATGCCTAAAAATTAATTATTGATATATGGCGTGTAACAATAACATTTTTCACTAAGCCCTATATGCCACGCTTATATTACCAAATGTCACTACACACCATACCAACAAATAGAGTTGTTACACGCCATGCATTACAACTAACAGTTGGCCTACATGTTTATGTGTTTGATCAAAAACATCTTATTAAGAATCACTTGCATTCATTCAACAACTATAAATTCAGACACAAAGTTTTGAGACATTAACTTAGGAGTCTTGATACTCATTACTGTGGTTAAATGTATAAAGACTAAATGTCTCTTCAACTGCTTTCTTCGAAAACTATTTCATTTTAAAGTTGTTCCATTTTGAATATTCATTTAATATTATGTTTTCTATCTAGATTCTTTCAACTAGTATAAATAGCTATGTAATTTAGCATATAAATGAAGTCATTTGTAAGTCATTTTGAGAGTACAGTAAAGTTATATTAATTCCAATTCACTCATATTTATTGAATTCTCGTTCTTTTATATCATTTCTCATCTCAACCATAAACCCTAAACACTCAACCTTAAACTAGTGCAAAAATGGACACATGTCCAAATAATTAATCTTTTTGTGTCTTATTTCCACTTCGCCAATTTTGTTAAGCTTAAACTAGAAAAAAGAGACATGAAGAA